TCCCCCCCCCCCCGCTGCCCCTCTTCCCCCTCCCCCTCAGGGAGTGCCCCCCCGCTGCCCCCTTCTCCCCCCTCAGGGACCGCCACCTCTTCTCCTCTCCCCCTCCAGCTGTCCCTCTACCCGCCTCCCTCCTCAGGGAGCGCCGCCTCTTCTCTCCGCCCCCCGCTCCCCCCTGCTTCGTCCCCTCTTCCTCCCCCCACGGTACCCCTCCAGGAACTTCCTCTCTTGACCCCTCCTGGGGTGGCACCAGCGGGGGAGGGGTGCTCACAGTGGGATGTGCCCCTCCCCACCCCCCCACTCAGCAGCAGGGCTAGGGAGCAGGCCTAGATGCCTAGTAGGGTAGGGCCGAACTCCCCCCCCACACACACACAATTGGGACGGGCAATGAGGGTCCCTGAGGCAGGGGCCAGCCCCCCCCAGCTCTTCGCTGCCCCCCTCCAGCCCGTTCCCAGGCAGCAGGGGGCAGTCTGGTGGCCCCGGAGAGGATCAAAGGGAGGGAGGGCTCCCCACTGAGCCCCATAGCCGGGGCAGGCAGGGCCACATCCCTGCCCAAACTGGAGCCTCCAGGAACTGGCACCAACGGAGCAGAGCCCCTGCCCGCAGCATCAGCCTGGTGGCACTGAGCCGTGCCCCTCGGGGGGGGGCCTGATCCCGGGCCCTGCACCCCAGCGGTGCGGGAACCTGGCCAAGCCTCGTGGCCCATGGGCTGCTGCTACCGGCCCGGCCCGGCGACGCTCGCCATGGGAGAGGAGCGAGGCCCGGGTCCAGCGTCAGCCTGCAGCGCTCCAGCCTCCCGGGGGTCGGGCCAGTCCCCGCGGCCACGGGCAGAACGCAGCAGCCGAGAGGTAAGAGCCGGCAGGTGGGGGATTCTCATACCAGCCTGGGCTGTGCCATCGGGGGCACCATGAGCAGGAGGGGGGTGTCCCTGGGAGGGGCCATGCGCACGGGGGGTCAAGGGGGGTCCTGGGCCAGCTTCTGTGCCCAGATCCCAGCAATGGGGGGCTGGAAGGGGCCCCGGGGAGGTCACCGAGCCCAGCCCCCAGTGCGGAGGCAGGACCCAATAACCCTGGAGCAGCCTGGCCAGGGGTTTGTCCAACCTGCCCCCCAAAAACTCCAACGCTGGGGATGCCACAACCTCCCCGGGAGCCTCCCTGCCTGGGGCCTTCAGCCAATGGCTCCTGGTCCCCCCGAGTGGGCGGAGTCGGGCGAAGGCCTGGCCATGGGGCCTGGAGCCTGCTGCAGAGGACACGGGGCGTTCGCCTCATGCAGGGGGGCACAGCCCCCCACGTGGTGTGTTTCTGCAGGAAGGGACAGGGTGGGAGCCCTCCGGGGACGGGGCCTGTGATGGCAGCTCAAGGGGGAGAAGCTGGTGGGGGGCAGGAAAAGGGGCCTTGAAAGGGGGGTGCAAACGGCCCCCTGAGAACTGCCCCTGCCAGTGCCTCCCCAGCTGGCATCCGAGCGGCTCGGGGCATGCCCCGCGTGCACTGCATTATGGGTACTGTCTGCAGCCCAGGGGAACAGAACACAAGCTGGAGCAGCCCTGAGGCTGCTCTGACTTTGGGCCGGGCAGGGCCCCCCAACTAGAAGGACACAGAAGTGACCTTGCCCCGTCCCAGCCCGGTGACCGAGCCTCAGGCCCTGCATGGGGGGGCTCAGGCAGCTCCTGCATGGGGGGCTCACCCACCAATATCTTGCTCCTCCGCTGGGTCTCCCTGTTCCCCGGTGGCCGTGGCTTGGTGCATCCCGCGGGGACGCGGGAACCGAACACCTGCAGCCCAAGTGCCCGGCCCACCTGTGCCCGCGTCCATTGGTGCCCCAGACCCGCCAGGCAACCAGCCAGCAGCTCCCGCCGGCCAGGCCCGCTCGTGTGCAGGCTCCAATTTCTCGGCGTCAGCTTCCCGTATGGTGTTCAGCTGTTCGCTCCCCTCTCGCCCTGTCACTCCGTCCCCGGCCGGCCGCGAGCGCCCCTTTGCAGCCAGGCCCGGGGGTCGGCGCCGGCCAGACCGAGGCGGGGCGCTGAGCTGCTTCTGGGGAGCATTTACCCAGCTGCGAGGGACCCCGAAACTCAGAGGTGAGTCTCTCTCTCCCCCCCCCCGGCTCGCTGTGCACCCGTCTCAGACACCCCCTTCCCTTCCGGACTGGGGCAGGGGGGCCGGCCAGCAAAGCACCCCCAAAGCATCCCTGGCCCCTGCTATCGCGCGTTACTTGCTGCGGTGACCTGCCCCGGCTGTAACACCCACCCCTGGGACAGACACACGTCCCTGCTGTAACACACCCCTGCGACACACACACACACCACTGCGACACACACACGCGCAACAGACACACACACACACACCCCCGCGACACACACACCCTGCAACAGACACACACACACACACTCCGCAACAGACACACGTCCCTGCTGTAACGCACCCCTGCAACACACACGCGCACGCAACAGACACACACATGCCTGCGACACACACACACACACCACTGCGACACACACACACACCACTGCGACACACACACACACACACCACTGCGACACACACACCCTGCGACAGCCACACACACACACCCTGCGACAGACACACGTCCCTGCTGTAACACACCCCTGCAACACACACACACACACATGCCTGCGACACACACACACGACACACACGCCCTGCAAGAGACGCGCACACACCCCCTGCGAGAGAGAGACACACACACGTCCCTGCTGTAACACGCGTGCAACACACAGACACACGTGACACACACACACGAGACACACACGCGACAGACACAGAGACACCATGCAGACACACCCCTGCAAGTGGGGGGAGCCAGGGCTCGTATGATGCCGGGAACTTAAAATAGCGTCTGGGCCGGACGTGTGGGGAGCTGCGGGTGTGGCACCGCTGAGCACAGCAGAAAGGGGGCAAGCGGTAGGTCCTGCGGTCGGGCGGCCTGGGGCGGTCTCCTCTCCTTGCCGTGACACCAGCTGGGGCTGTGTAAATCCCCAGGCAGGCCGTTCAGCTGGCACCGTGGGCAGGACCGTGGGCCTACTCTGCCCATAGCTCCACCGTGCTGGGCCCCAGCGGGCACTTGCTGTGGGGCAGAGATGGGCACCGAGTTGGCTCATCCCGCGGTGCCGTCAATTGGCTGTGGGTTAGCGGGTGTTGCCAGGGGAGCCCCGTGACGTCTCTGCTCCCCCTTGCAGCATGACGGAGAAGGAGGCGCTGGCGCCACCAGCCTCGCCCGCGCCAGGGGGGAAGCCAGCGAGCAGGGTAAGTGCTGCCAGAGGATTGGGCTTGGGGGGGGCTGAAGAGAGGTTCCCCCCACCAGTGCTCCCTGCCCCTCTTAGAGGGGCTCCTTCCCAGGGCACATCCTGCCTCCAGCCCTCCTGCCCACCAGGCTGCCGGTCGGGGGGACAGGGGTCCCCGCGTCCCAGCAGCTGGGACCCTGCAGTCCCGGGGATGTCATGAGTTGGGGGTGTTGGTGGGGACGTGCCATGATGCCAGCGTGCCCCCCACCTCTCCGTGCCCAGGTCTCCCTGTCCGGCACGCTCAGCCTGTTACACCAACGCCACGGGGCCCTGCCCACACTCCTGCACCAAGCAAGGGACTGGGGACCAGGACTCCTGGGTTCTATCCTGGCTCTGCCACTGACTCCCTGGGGCAAGCCACCATTTCCCTCCCGTGCCTCAGTTTCCCCCAGGGAGGGGCGTCGGTGTCTCTGAGGTGCCCAGTGTCTCCCCGCCCCTCAGCTCCGGGCGCTGAAGCAGCTGTTTCTGCGGAGGCCCAAGGAGGAGCCGCCAGCGGAGCCGCAGCCCAACGGGGAGCTGGTCAGCCCCACGGGGGGGCCCCTCTACTACTTCTACGAGGAGGAGGAGGAGGAGGAAGAGGAGCCCGAGCCGCCCCCCGAGCCCCAGAAGCCCGTCAACGACAAGCCCCACAAGTTCAAGGATCAGTACTTCAAAAAGCCCAAGTTCTGTGATGTCTGCGCCCGCATGATTGTCCGTGAGTGGGGGGGGTCTGGTTTGCACTGGGGGGAGGGGTTGGGCCGAGGGGGCACGGGGCCTGGGGGGGATGGGTGGGAGGTCCTGGGGGAAGGGGGGAGGGGGGCATGGCTGCGGCAGGGGCACTGAGGGGGGAGGGGGCACTAGGCGCAGGAGGGGGGCATGGCTGGGGAGAGGGGAGGGAGTTGGGGGGCACAGGCGAGGAGGAGGGAGGGGTATTTAGGCCAGAGAGGCAGGGGACACACCATGCTGGGGGGGGCCAGTGACCTACGCAGAGGCAGCACGCTGGGACTCAGCTCCCCCCCACCACCCCCTGTGGCACTGTGGCCAGTCCCCAGGGACGGTAACAGGGCCCCTGCGGCCCGGCTCAGTGGGGCACATGGGGGCCGAAGGGGCCCGACGGACGCCCCCTCCCCAAGGAGACATCCATTCCCAGGGGCTCTGTGAAGCCAGTCACGGGGTGGGGGGCAAACCTACTGCCCCCTGTGCCAGCCCTGATCCCTGCTGGGGGGTCCCCGTCCAGCCCCCTGCCCCCACTCCCTGGGCTGTGACCCCTGGGGGGCTGGGGTCTCTAGCCGAGCTGGTTCCGTGGCTGGGACGGTTAATCGACTCGTCTTTGCCTCCCCCCCACCCCCACAGTCAACAACAAATTCGGCCTGAGATGCAAGAACTGCAAAACCAGCATCCACCACCACTGCCAGTCCTACGTGGAGATGCAGCGCTGCTTCGGCAAGATCGTGAGTCCGGCACGGCCCCCTCCCCTGCCCACGGCCAGCTCCCCACTGGCACCAGTGGGGAAACTGAGGCACAGGGAGGGGAAGTGACTCACTGAGGTCCCACAGGTTTAGAGGGTAGAGCTGGGGTAGAACCCAGGAGTCCTGGCTCCCAGCATCCACTCCCCTCCCCCCCCCCCCCGACCCCTCCCCCCCCACAGCCAGGGATAGATCCCAGGAGTTCTGGCTCCCAGCCCCCTCCTCAGCTAACATCTAGACCCCACTCCTCTCCAGAGCTGAGGATAGAACCCAGGAGTCCTGGCTCCCAGCATCCACTCCACTCCCCTCCCCTCACCCACTGACCCCTCTCCTCCAACAGCCAGGGAAAGAACCCAGGAGTTCTGGCTCCCAGCCCCCCTGCTCTAACCACCAGCCCTCCCCCCAGAGCTGGGCTAGAACCCAGGCATCCTGGCTGTGCAGGCATCTGTCCTGCAGCTGTAACGCCCCCGTTCTCTCTCTCGCTCTCAGCCCCCCGGGTTCCGCCGGGCGTACAGCTCCCCCCTTTACAGCAACCAGCAATACGCCTGCGTCAAGGAGCTGCTCTGTAAGTACCAGCCCCTCCCCTGTGGGGGGCCACAGACCCTCCCCTGCCCCATGAGTGGAACAGCTGCCCCCCCCCCGGAACTCACCGCCCCCCTGTGGTGTCTCTGACTCAGCGGCAGCCAATCGCAGCGACCCCGTGTTCGAGACCCTCCGGACGGGCGTCGTCATGGCCAACAAGGAGCGGAAGAAAGGGCAGGACGATAAGAAGAATGTGAGCTGGAGGGAGGGTCCGTGGGGGGCCATGCTGGCGGGGGAAGGGGGTCCCCGGGGTGGGCGCTGGTGCGGGGAGGCAGTGCCCCAAAGCCGAGGCCTGTGGGGGGCTGCTGGTGCAGGGGGCGATGCCAGCACGGGGTTCCCGGGCTCCCACTCAACCCCAGCGCCCTGTGCCCTGTTACCCACAATCCCCTGGGGCCCTGCCCACCCCCAACCCCCTGTTCCCGCTACCCACAATCCCCTGGGGCCCTGCCCAGTCCCCCGTTCCCTGCTACCCACAATCCCCTGGGGCCCGACCCCAGCCCCCTGTTCTGTTACCCACATTCCCGCGGGGCCCGGCCCCCCCCTCTAATCTGCCTCCCCTTCTCTTTGCCAGCCCTTGGCCGCCATGATGGACGAGGAGCCGGAGCCTGGGAAGCACGAAGTGGGCAAACTCGAGGCAGGTGCGAGCCTGGGGGACTGGCGGGGGCCGGCCCAGCTCTGTGCCCCATGGTGCCAGGCAGGGTGTCCGGCCCAGGTGTTTTCCTGCCACCCCCTCACCTGCCCTGGGGTCTCCGCAGCGGGCTGGAGCTTGGGGGTGTTGCCCAGGCCCTGGGTGCTTGGGAGGGGGGGCATCTGTTAACTTGGCACATGAAACTGTACCCCCCTTTCTCCTCTTCCTTCCTGTGCTCCCAGGCAACCCAGAAGGGGACAAGAAGGCAGAGAAAAGCACTCCCGACGACAAGGTACCCCCCTGTATCCCCCTGCACCCCACAGCCCTGCACCCTCTCCCCCTAGGGTTACAGCCCCCCGACAAGGTACCCCCTGTATCCCCCTGCACCCCACTGCTCTGCACCCCCTCCCCCTGGTGTTACAGTCCCCCAACAAGGTACCCCTCTGCACCTCACTGCCCTGCACCCTCTCCCCCTGGGGTTACAGCCCCCTGACCAGGTACCCCCTTTCTGTACCCCCCTGCACTCCACTGCTCTGCACCCCCTCCCCCTGGGGTCACAGCCCCCTGACAAGGTACCCCCTCCTGTACCCCACTCTCCCCTGCACTCCACTGCCCCTGCACCTCTATTCCTGGGGTCACAGCCCCCTGACCAGGTACCCCCTTTCTGTACCCCCCTGCACCCTCTCCACCTGGGGTCACAGCCCTCTGACAAGGTACCCCCCTCCTGTACCCGGCTCCCCCAGCGCCCCTCACCGCCCCGGTCACAGCGCCCCTACTGACAAGTCCCCTCCCCCATGGGCGGTGCCGGGCTGTAGCCGAGCTGTGGGCTAGGAGGAGGCCGTGGGGCACAGCCAGGGCAGGGCCTGGCAGCCAGATGGTGCCCATGGTCCCTGCCCCTCGTGCCGCGGCTCTGATCCCGTTCTCCCTGCCCCCCCAGAACAAGAAGCCCCAGCCCGGCTTCCTGCAGACTCATTACTTCGTGGCGCTTTATCGCTTCAAAGCCCTGGAGAAGGACGATCTGGATTTCCAGTGAGTTCGGGGGGCGAGCGCCCCGGGCACTAGCCCCGAGGGATGAAATTGTCCTTGGAGGCGTGTTGGGGTTTCTGGGAGCGTCGGTTGCGGGGTCTGTCTCCGGCTCCTCCCCGGGCACAGAACTTGGGGGCCTGGCTTCCAAACACCACTGGCTTCAGACAGACGAAGAAATGCCAGGGGTGGGGGGCGTTCTGGGCCGTCAGCTCCTGAGCCATTTGCACACGCTCAAGTCCCGTCCTCATGCCTGCCCGGGCCACGGCTAGAAACGGCCTCCCTTCACCAGACGAGAGCTCCCCTAATCACAGGACTCCGGGAGCTGGAGCTTTCCAAAGCGGCCATGGCCGCACTGCTTACAGCCGGGAGAACTGCAGCTGAGATCAGGGCCACCGCGTGCTGCAGAGAGACCCTGCCCCCGGTGAGATCAGAGCCCCCTGGTGCCGGGCGCTGCACAGACAGACCCTGCCCCGAGCTCTCACTCCAGACACACCAGGGAAGGGGGACTCCCCCAGGTTCATAGGCGGGGGGTTCGCTCGAGGTCACACAGGGTGTCGGGCCGAGCAGGGGACTGATTCTCTATCTCCAGGGGCCCAGCGCAGGCCCCAGGAGGCCACGGAGGAGCGAATGCAGCCGGGGCCGGGGAGAGGCTGCCCGGCCCAGCTGACCGCACCAGGGCTGTGGCGTTCTCGCCGGGGCTGGGTTGCAGGTGTCCGAGATCCCAGGGCCCCGCGGTGCCAGGGGCTAGACAGACAGAAGGACAGGCCCTGCCCTGCACCACTTAGTCCGAGTCCTTTCCCTTGCAGCCCGGGGGAGAAGATCACGGTGGTGGATGACTCCAACGAGGAGTGGTGGCGGGTAAGGAGGGGTCCCCCCAGTCGGCTGGGGCAGGGTCCGGGGTGTCGGCAGCAGCGGGGCGCACGGTGGGGGCAGCGCCTGGGGGGCTAGAGCTTAAAGCCAGTGATGATCTTCAGCACTCACGAGGGTGAGAGGCTGTATAGAGCTTCTCCCAGTCCCGACCTGCAGCCCCTGCTAGCCCAGCCCTGGGCTCCCCACCCCATCGGTGCCCCTCACTCCCGACCCGCAGCCCCTGCTAGCCCAGCCCTGGGCTCCCCTATGCAAACAGCTTTGTCAATGTCCACACCCCTCAGTCCCGACCCGCAGCTTCACTGTTTCAGCCCAGGCGTGTTGCGGGAGGGATGGTGTCCTTGCAGGCCGGGCTGCTCCCAGTGACCCCCCCTCCCCCGTGTAACTCCTTGCAGGGGAAGATGGGCGAGAAAATTGGCTACTTCCCCCCAAACTTCATCATCCGGGTGCGGGCGGGCGAGCGGGTGCACAAGGTCACCAGGTCCTTTGTGGGCAACAAGGAGATCGGGCAAATCACGCTGAAGAAGGATCAGGTGAGCACAGAGCCAGCTCCCCGCGGGGGGGCGTCACCCC